ATGGCACATATATTTGAAATAAGCATGAAAGTGTCGAGGCTTACCTCAAGTTGGAGTTCGGACGGAATAGCATCGACCACCAAGGCAGGAGCTACCGAGGTCAGCATAAGGATGGGCTCAGGTGGTGCACTTCCGTCGATGGGAAAAATGGGCTGAAATTTGGCCTCAGTGGCCGCGGTGTTAGCCGAAGAAAGTTCAGGGCCAGAAATGGCCGGCTAACATGTTCGAACATTGAAAATAAGGAATTGCGGGCAAGTATAGAAGAAACTTTGAAAATATGAAATTTTAATGAACCTGAGAGTTTGGAACGTGTGGGAAGTCTTCCTCTGTCAGCTCGGTCACATGCTCCAGGGCATGATCCTCGGGCATGGGAGTAGTCTCGTGTAACCCTGTGGAAACCTCTTCTAGGTGTCCAATGGAATTGACCTCGGTCGACTAAGTTTGAAAATGTATTAAGCATAAAAGAAGTAAAAGAAAATTCAAACAGCTAAGGAAATGAAGCTACCCCATCCTCGCCCACCGAAGTCATGACTTGTGCCCTAATTTCCGTCTCAGGTGCGGAATGTTGAATTTCCTATATTTTTGGGCGTAGAAGTGAGTTTGGGCCAGTAGAATTAATAAATGAAAGTACACATAGATATAAGCTTACCAAAGCGATGGGCAGAGTAGTGGCCGATTGCACGGCCCCAATCGAATGAGAAAGAGAAGGTTGCTCCGCCAGCCTTGAGGAACCTGCAACAAGTTTCGTTAGTTAAAAAATAAAAAAAATAAAAAAATAAATAAAAAAATGGGGTGCACGGCCAAACCTTGAGGCGAGAGGATGCGCTGAGCTTTTCTAGGCCGAAGGAATGATTGTGGGGGCACAATATTTCCGGCGGGGGTATTTGCTAAAAATTAGGAGATTTAATTTTTTAGAGATGCCCATTAAAAAAAATTCAGAAGGATGGAAATGCAAATCTTCAAAAAAGGCCAAAATAATCATGGAGAGTAGTTTACCTTGGACGGGGGCATTGGGCCTTTTCTCGCCCCGCCCAGGATTAGCATCGGTGGGATTGGCGGAGCTCTCTCTCTCAATAATGTCGGCAGAAGGACTTTCCTTCCCGGCTGTGTCAGCTGTGAGATTTGAATTGTTAGAAAGTAGGAAGATAGCCAAAATTAAAATGAGAAAACGTGTGAATATTTTACCTTTTGCTTGGGCCTTGTTCTTCTCTTTCTCTTGCTGGTAGGTTAATGAGCATGGGCAATGCCTGAAGATTCTACCTTCAATCTCCGAACAAGGTTGAGAAAACCAACCGGCCGACATCTCTTTCCACCAATGGATGAAAATATTAGAGTTACCAAATTGGGGATCTCTAATCGGAATGCTGAAGGATTTCACCAAGTCTTAGTTGAAATTCGTCAAGGCGGTGACTTCTTTTGCATCCTTGAATTCACCCCGCCAAGAAGAAAGCAGGTTGACGGAATCCATGGGCGGAATCGGGATGTTCTGAATGAAACCAAGTTGGTAGCCGGCGGTGGCGGGATAATAAAGTTCACCACCACAATGATAATTGCCACCTTTGTTCACCATTAGGCCGTATGGAAGATCTCGGCTAATGAGGATGCTCGCCCACATATTATGCCTCTCCTCCTTTGTCTCTGCCGTAGAATATGAGGAAAGATTCATGGCTAGATAATCCGGGAAACGGTGATCTGAGCAAATGGAGAGATGCTCCCTGGTCCTCTCTTGGCACTCATAGAAAAATCGGAAGCAATCCTCAACATAATGCTTCCGGCGTGGGGTGTTGAGCAGGGGTGGACCCAGAAGAGCCTTATCGTTGGGGCAAACGGTGGCGGGACTTAGTTCCGGAAAATAGAGCTAGAGCCACAATTGAAAAATCCATATAGGGCCAAAAGCATGGTAATCCATGGGTTTAGTAATTACCTCACGAAGCCCTCTATAAAGATAGGCAAGAAAGATTGGGCCCATGGCCACTTGATGGCCATCTACAAGTACTTCCGCCAAGGCTTGGAATTCCTTAGTAATCCCACCGGATTTTGGGCATGCCAGGAATTTGCACAACCACATCACAAGAAAAGCCACATGCTCAGTGTAGGATACGTCATTGATGGAAGGGGGGTCGGTGGGCTCTTCGCTATGGCCACGATACTTTTTCATCTAACTCCAGGAGGTTTTGATCGACTTGTGAAAATCTAAGCCCACCTTGGCTTCCCGAAGGTTGGCGGCCGAGAAATCATCTCCATGAGGGCGAAGGCCTGCAATGGCGGCCAAGTCTAGCAAGTCTAGCAATTGGTGGATGAAGACCAAAAGCATAGCTCTGCAATAACAAGAGATTGGTCGCAAGGAAAGGCTATTCCCGCACATAGGAGCAATGTATCATATATTCCGATTTTCTTCCAATGGCCCTTCAATTTTGGTTCTAAAATTTTGAACCAATGATACCAATCAAATTTACCTTCCGCCGAGCTCGAGTGGTCTAATTTCCCGGCGGCGGATGATACTTTCTTTGATGGAGCTTCTTTAGTTCCGGCGGAATCCATTTTGATGGGGGTCCCCGTTGGCCAACCTATGAAAGGCTTGGAGCTCTCCCAAAAAGTTGCCCATGTAAAGTCTGAAAAATAAGTTGGGCCATTTCTCGGCTGTGTCACCCACACCTTCGCCAACTTTTCTGGGTAGGCCGAGAAAAATGGGCCGAGAATATATTGGGCAGAGTTGGGAAAGGCATTGAGGAAGTAGGCAAATACCTGCTTGCCCAAGTCTTTGTCCATGGCCACTTTCATTTCTTTAAAAAATTGGGCACTATCATTTGGAATGGATTCCATCCTACAAACATGAAGAAAAATCGAATCAAAGGAAAATATAGTGAAGAAAGTGAGATTCGAATCAAGAACATGAAGAACATCATGGCACTATTCATACATTCAAAGTTTCAAGTCTACACTTTTCAAAGCTACAAATTCATCAAAATCATACCAAAATCAACAAAGAATTAGTGCAACATACCTAGAAACTTGCAAATTTCAAGTTTGACATTGATTCGGGTGGATTTGGTGTGTGAAATGATGAATGTGAAGATAAAGAGGATATGAGTTTTGAGGGAAAACCTTCTAGAAACCTATGGCTATGGTGGGAATGTTTTATGGGTAAATAATGAGAACATTTGGGTATTTGTAATACCTAGGATTCTTAACAAAAATCCTTCCAATTTAATTTCAAAGCTTAATAACATGCAAGCCAATTAGAAAGTCTCAAACTTCAGAAATTGAAAGGTCTTGGGTTTCAATTTGCTTACCTTTACACCAATTCCGAGCTAAACAAATCGAGGGGCAATGTTTGGGGCTGTTGAAAATCAAAACCGAATTTGAAGCTTGTGAAGAGGTTGCAGCCGAAATCTTGGAGTTATCGGCCGGTTGTGCTGGAAGATGTGGCTAGATTTTTGCTATCAATGCCCAGTTTTATCGGCCGAGAGCCACAGATTTTTGGGCAAGAGTCCTGGGGGTTTTCGTGGAGACTAAAGTCTGTAACCATTTTGCAAGTCGGCTGGAGGTTTGGAAGGTTAAGATTTAATATCATCCTTATATATAAGGATTCATGTCTTGTGCAGGTAAAGTTTCATGTGCTGTTTGGCCAACTTCAATAATCGGGTGACCCACGTGTGCAAATTAAAATATGAACTTATATATAAAAATGCAATTACTTTGGATTGTTGCATGTCCAGCCAGGCTCCCAAGTTCATGCCCTATATATATATAATATTACAAAGTGAAAGCAAACGGTGAAATCAAATTCAAAGCCATCATTATATGGTATGCATTATATATATATATATATATATATAATAGGTAGATGAATGAACAAAGTGTGGCTGGGACCTTTTAATTATGGTGAAATCAAATTCAAAGCCATCATTATATGGTATGCATTATATATATATATATATATATATAATAGGTAGATGAATGAACAAAGTGTGGCTGGAACCTTTTAATTATTTGCTAATTCGGTTGAAAAGGTAGTGGCTGGAGAAAATTAGGCTGAAGGTTTTTGAGTCCACTTATCTTATTATATATATATATATATATAGTTATTCTCTTATCCGGATGTCCGCACGTTATTATCGTGCGGATCCTATTGTAAACAGGCAGGAAAACAGAGAGGGGTAGTACAAAATACACTGCGTCCGCACGATAATAACGTCCGGATGTCCGCATAAGAGAATTTCTGTATATATATATATGTGACTGAAGGGTTTGCAAATATGCGGCTCGAGGCATTAGGGGTCTGCAAAAAGAAATGATGCAAGTGGCGGCCAAAGTTTGGATGTTTTAGCAAATTGGGGCGAAAGCTATTGTGTCCTATTATACATGTATAATAGGTGGATGAATGAAAAAAGTATGGCTGGAACCTTTGGTTGGTCTACCAATTCGGCTGAAAAGCTCTTTGTCTTAAAAATAGATGAGTGCAAATGTGCGGCCGAAGTTTTGGTGATGTGCAAAAATGGGCTGGAAAGTTCTTTATCTTATTGTATATATATAAGTGCCATCATAAGCCTTTGGGTGGTTTGCAAATTGGACAAATGAAGCAGCAAATCACGTGGGAAAGCTTTGAATGTTGGTGTGGAACAACAAGTGGAGCAAACTAAGGAGGAAGTGCTGAAATGTTGGACTCAAATAGCCTTTGGGTGGTTTGGGCATTATTTTATGGGAGGAGTTTAATTGGTTTATGACATGTGTACCATAACATGTGTGAAAGAACTTTAGGTTCTTTCTTTAGTCATTGGTGTTGTCCATTTTAAGAAAGAAACCATTCTTTCTTAGTTTATTGTTTCAAGTGGATGGGTGCTCTGTGGCAACAGCAAATGACTTCCTATGCGAAGAGGTGCAGTTGGAGCAAATTGGGCTGAAAAGTTTTTTTTGTCTTAATATTGTTGTAAAGTCTTGAGTGGAGCCCACATATTTGGAAAGAATGAAGGATATAATGATGAAAGTATTGTGGAAGTGGAAGACATGATTACACACATTCACGGGAGGCAATAACCTTTGCCTACAAAATAAAGCTTCCTCCTCATTTGTAATAGATAGAAAATGACTCAATGAAAACATATTTCTATGCTTTCTCTATATCTCAATTCTCTCTACAATTTCCTCTAGATTTATAACACGTTATCAGCACGAATATCTCTAAAATACCAGCTGAGATATTCAACCAAAAACTCCAACCCGAGGTTCCAAAGCTCAATTAATCATCATATGGATCATCCCATCTCCGATGACCCCAAATCTCCACTTCTCCCTCTCCACCACAATCATCCAATCCAACGGTCAAAAAGCTTCCTGTCAGATGGCCTTGTGGCTAGCTGGAACATGCTAGAAGTGCTTGTTTGGGTCTTTGCTTGGTGGCTCGCAGAGCTTGTGCCTATGCCCATCACCTCCATGGTTCAAAAGGTGATCAGCACCTGGGTCAGCCTTTGCCAATAAGGTGGTCATGGCTTCCATAAACATGAGACAGGATTTGCGCATGCCCTCAAGGAATTGGAATTGTCCCTGTATCTTATCGTAACAAGTACTGATTGGAAAAAGGGGATGTGAAGCAGAGCATGGTGGCTTTACTTGGACTTTGCTCGCAATATGAAAAAAACTTTGATCAGAAAAACAACACCAAAAGGGGATAAGTTCTCTGCCTCTCACTTTATCTCTTCCATTAATTATATTATTATAATATTTGCACAATTTAATACTTAACTAACATTCAAAGCTAGTGTAGATTGCAGGTGGAAAGAAGAAAAGCCAACGTGATATGTCTAGCTTTCCACTAACATATTGGTATAATAATATTATATTATTTAATTGTGGTGTTGATAAGAACCCACCAATGACTGCCTTTACTTTATCCATATATATAGTAGTTCTATGGACGGTTTCACCTCCTATATTTTTAGTGGTGGTTTTATCCCCACATTTACTATGGACGGTTTTCACCTCCTATATTTTTAGTTGTGGTCTTATCCCCACATTTATTTTATTTACTGTATGGTGTAAGTTTATTACCCATACGACAATATTTATTTAAAAATGTGGCACGGGTTTATCGTCCACACAACTGTCTTTATTTTTTTTTATGGAGCAGAATTAGTGCCCATACCAGCGCATTTACTTTATCGCACATTTACATTTATTTAAAGTATGGTGCGGGTTTATCATCCATACCAGCAATTTATTTTATAGATTAATTGTGCGATATGATGAGTTTTTACAATATACAGATCAGGACCAGAAGCTCCTTGATCCTCATCATGCAACTGCATCAGGACTTGAAGATCCTTGATGATGATATTGATATGAGAGCTGGCAGTCTCTCGATACTATATTTGTAAACAAGAGATCGGACCAGAAGATCCTTGATCCTTGACATGTAAATAAGGATCTGGAGTTCCTTGATAATGTAATAGTACCGTATTGGTTAATAATACAGTACACATGAATAATAACTGTATTGGCAAATGTACTGTACACATGAATAGATACGTATTCATGACTTGATGAATAGTACCATATACATGAATAGTGATGTATACATTAATATTAACCATTTTGGATAAACCGTCACTATATACAAAAGGAAACCTGCAATTCCTTAAACTCATGGATGAGCAATTAAATGAAATGCCAGAAGTTCCTCAGAACATGGACGATTACATAAGGGCCTGAAGTCCTGAAATATGTACAGGAATTTATAAAAATGTCCACACCATGAGAATATGTGATTTTGGCATGCAGTCCAAAATCTGACAATATTGAGAACCTGAAGTTCCAACAATTAAATGGACAACCCTTGAGGCATTATTGCAAAATGTGGAACACCACATATCTCTTTGGCATAAGAAAATAATTTGATAAAGTTCGATTCTGTTACAATCGACACCTCAAGAAAGAAATATATTTTGTGAATTCTGGTTGTTAAGAATACACCGTGAAATAGATAATATCAGGATAAACCTCAAAGGATGAATTAAGGCTCTCCACATATTTTGTAATATTATATGATCTGGGCCGGAAGCCCATGGATCCAAATATATGAGAGATCCCAAACCTGAAGTTTTGGGTATATAGGAGTTAATGCTCTTCACTACTATATTGCAATACTATCATGGTTTTTACTCAATTCATATTTCATGCCCATTTGAAAAGGGCAAATAAATTCTGAGGTCGTGTTTTAGCCCGGGCCAGAAGTTCCAGACTCACATGCATTGAAATATGTTACTTGAGAGATTTGTTGTGGTTATTTGAACCTATAAGGCACAAGGTTCCAAACCGTCATTTTGAAAAGACGTAAAAACCACGGGTACAAGTTTAAGAATTTGCCCAATTATTATAACAGAAAAGGAGTATACAACAGATAGATTTTCTTCACCTGCAAGAAAGGAGCAGGCTCTGTAAAATCTATAAAATTCCATTATGTTCTGGAAGCCTCTGCAGGAAGAGGACGACGCCTCTTAAGCTTAGCCATAAGTCTTTCGTGGTCTTCCAGAATCTTTTCATTGGAAATCTGCAGCATGTCAAGCCTTGTCTGCGTATCAACGGAGTATGAACTCACTAGTTTCAACAAGGCATTATTCTCTTCTTTAAGTTTCTCAACCTCCTGTTGAGACTCATGAAGTTTTCTTTGAAGAGACGAATTTTCAGTGTTCAGCTCCTGAATCTCGTTTGCTCTAACACGCAAACGATTAGCCAAGTTAGAAACAGAAGCAGCACTCTGAATGCTAAAAGCCAGTGAGTCATCAATGGCCTCTTCTTCAGACCTCCATGTTGACAACATGTCATCCATAGGAATAAGGAAATTCCTAGCTACTGTGACAGCAGTCGAATCATTCATCATCACAGAATCATTAACCGTGAGATGATGGTTTTGGGATACAAAGGATGGCCGCCAGACTTTGGCATCACGGGTTGCTTTGGGATCAACATTTAAATCGAAATGATTTGGGCGAGAAGAAGAGGAAGCCATTTTCAGAAGGTTTTGAGGAAAGCCTTAGAAAAACTGAACTTTCAGAGAATGAAAGGGAATTGAGTTGAAATGCAGTTACTCCAATCAAATCTTGCAGAGGCAATATCTATAGGTGGAAATGTGGCACCGTTTCCAGTATCCCAATATTTCCCTGGATCCCCATATTCTCTTTTTCTTTCCTAGGTTCCAAAACTTTACGCGGCCTCCATTAATGTCTGTCGGCACTTTAGTCGTTTTCCAGGATTATTTTCGTCAAAGTCGATCTTACTTTGCGAATTTCACGGAGTTACTTTTTCAAAGAACCCCGAGAACTTTGCAAATTTCTGTGGTTAATTTGAAATTCACCAGATTTACTTATTCCCCTTATTTGTGTATAAATATGTTACTAACGAAATTTTCTTTGCAGAATACACTCAGTTTCCTCCAATTTTCTCCATATCCAATGATGCAATATCCACTTGTTTTTCATATCAGTGAGTACATCGATATGCTTGAGAAGCGAGACTATCTCTGATCATCCATTCAGGAAGCGAGACTATCCCTGATCACGTTTCCGCTACATCAGGGAGCTGCAAGAATGACCACATGCTCTGATCTCCTGGAGTTCTTCTAGGCTAGGAGAAATGAGAGTTTGTTGTCTGTTCCCACCAGCTTCCTTCCTTGATTGCTTACCTTACCTTGCAATCAATATCACAATTTTTGTATCTTTTCTTTCTTTTTATATCTCTCGATTCATAAGGAATTTTATTTCCTTAGAATGAACATCCGAAGAAAGAATCCATGTAGTGATCCTAACACTGAGGGTTATATTTTTGACAGAGACAGAAGGATTGTGATTTTTGCTCTTGCAGGATATAACTAGATTATCAAGCGTCACATTATATTTGCAGAGCCGATACGAGCTTAAATGATACTTGAGAAAAGTTTCTCCCACCTAAGGATGTAAGCAATATTTGTATTATTTCATGCTTGTACTCTTGTTTTGATATTTTGTACTACATCCTTAAAGGTAACCAAATGAGGAGATAAGGTCGTTCCGGAAGAACACCATGCAAAGGACCATTCAAGAAGGATGGCTTGTATCATTCTGATATGTATTCATGAATTATTAATGAAAATTTCACAGATTGCAAGTTGAATACATTAATGACACACTGCATAGATTAAAGTCCCATAAGAACAGAACATGGGTATAGCAGTGATCAATATGATGTACGCCTGTTGTGTAGCAAATGTAATGAATTGAAGTCCCAGAAGGACACTTCTTTAACATGTCAATATTAATACGGTGCACGCCTGATGCATAGCAAATTATATGGCTTAAAGTTCCAAAAGGACAATTAATTGACATGTATGTATTAATCTGTGGCATGCCTGCAGCATGACAGATATATGGGTTCTAAATGTTCCAACTCCCTAAATGGAGATTATCCACGCCCTACTGTAAAGTAACGCTCCATTGAAGGTTATAATCCACATTCTCACATAATAAAAGCCCCTTAAAGTGGCTTGGGTACCCAAAAGCAAAGAAATGCTTATAATTGATGCATGCGCATGCACATGAGAATGGTGGGATCATGAGAATTGATGAATAACAATTTTTGGTTTTGGAGTAGCTACTCAAATCATCAATGGGCTGTGTTGATTGGAACCACGTTCTATTATTAAATGTAGACAATATCATTGGCCAAAATGGAAAGAGGCAATTCCATTACAGATGAGAATGAACGTGAAAGAACAAACCCATAGTACGAACACCAAAAGATGTTAATACTATACTTGGGTGTTCAGAATAAAAGGGAGTATGCCCATTTTGTATGACACAATGTTTCTGGTAGAAACAAGGAATATTAGGTTTCTCCATATTTACAGATGCAATCGTGCCTTCTTATTGCACATTTACGGAGACCAACATATTATCTTTAAGGGTTATTAGATGCACGGAGCATATCGCCAGAAGCGATTCTCTAAAGATGTACAAGGAGAACTAATAGATGGATTTAAAGCTATATAATGTGTCATGAAGTGTAATCCCTTAAATAAAATCCTTGAAGGATTGGAATTGCATGAAGCAAGTTCCTGAAGGACATGTGCTTGAAGCACAAAATCTGTACTCAATACTAATATGTATAAATTGCCTCAGTGAGTACCTTAATTATAATATGGTTGCAACACATTACAACTCCCGAAGAGTTCAAAACTCCTGAAGAGTTAATACTTGGTTAAAACTCCTAAAGAGTTCGAGGAATATTTGTCTCGGCCTGAAGATCGAGCATTATGCCAACGAGATTCTTGCTTATACTAAGAAAGTATTGAAGCATTTTATGTGGATTATCCGTTGGGCACTTAAATGATTTTCCGGAAATATACTGGACCAGACATTGTATTTTCAGATAGAGCTCAGCTCCGTCACCATCACTTTGGGATGATGTGAGGCATATGTGATACTATCTCCGCATAACATCATATACGGGCATATTCTTTTAAGTGAACTTACAAATAGCCTAGATTTTGTTGGATACGCGAACTCTGGAAATTTCTATGGTCGCTTATTAGAAAAAGTTAGTCATGAAGATTTTAGGGGGAGATATTCTTCAGGGGGAACATTCAACAATATTACAAGATTGACTCACAGAAGCAGTGTCAACTATCATATTTAGAAAGATGATCAACAGTATGGCTTAAAGATATTTTGCCAAGCATCAGGGGGAGCGTGCTGTCAATAAAGATCTTCACACACTGTACTCTTTTTCCTTCATCCAGGTTTTTATCCCACTGGGTTTTTCCTGGCAAGGTTTTAATGAGGCAGTGTCGCACGCGTGTCAATATACACAGATTTTTACAAACGGTTATGTACTCTTTTTCCCTTCGACCAATTTTTGTCCCACTGGGTTTTACTGGCAAGGTTTTTAACGAGGCATATTCCATAGTGGTCTCCAAGGGGGAGTGTTGTAAAGTCTTGAGTGGAGCCCACATATTTGGAAAGAATGAAGGATATAATGACGAAAGTATTGTGGAAGTGGAAGACATGATTACACACATTCACGGGAGGCAATAACCTTTGCCTACAAAATAAGGCTTCCTCCTCATTTGTAATAGATAGAAAATGACTCAATGAAAACATCAGATTTCTATGCTTTCTCTATATCTCAATTCTCTCTACAATTTCCTCTAGATTTATAACAAATATATATATAATTAATCAAAGCCTAATGCCATATGCTGCCAACGCCAGACCAACATACCAAGATGGCTTCATGCGATATCATAAATATATATATATAATTAATCAAAGCCTAATGCCATATGCTGCCAACGCCAGACCAACATACCAAGATGGCTTCATGCGATATCAAACAAAAGGCCAAGAGGTAACCCATGCGGTGGACATAGTTGGAAATAAACAAATATATACATATAAAATTCAAAGGCAAAGCTAAGGCCTTTGTGGACTAGCGGCCAGCACATGGCTTAGATGAAGATCAGCCAACAATTATTGGAATATGCAGCTATCAACCATGCGACCGATATCCAAATATTTGGAGTTCACATACCACTTAACGTTGGTGGGAGTCTTAACCAAGTCATAAGCTCCAAGTGTGCAACTTCTCACCAAATGTCAAATCAAGTCCAAAGCTCAGCCTACGAAACTAAGTTCAAAAGTTCCAGCAAAAGTTTCCCTGCAAGTGGCGGACTTTAAAGACATGAAGAATTAAGTGTCAACCTACCAAGATTCATTGCACCTTATATCAAGGGGAGAGTTTTCACAATCCCAATAACATTTTGGGCAGTTCATGCCTAGAGCTCTGGAAGACATTAACATTGGACGGATTTTCAAGACAGAGTTAGTTGTGGACATTTAATGGCCAAATCCTGTGAGTTGAAGGAAGCTCTATAAATTGGTCGTCAGAAGAAGAGAAGAGGACCTCCGACTGAGCACACAAAATCTATCTTTTTATCCTGTACTTTTCAATTCATAATCTAAGATTTTATCTTTCAAGTTCTTCAGATTATCCAAGTTCTTCGTTTTCCTAGTGTAAGCTTACTTTCTTGCAATTTAATTTCAATTGTCATTACATTCGAGTTTAATTCAAGTCTTTATCGCTTTAATCTATTTTATCACATTTACATTTCTGACATCTCATTTACTGCATTTACATTTCTCGCACTTAGATTTTTGTCATTTTGTTTACTGCATTTACATTCATTGCACTTATCACAAAAATCCTAAAAATAGTCATACAAAGCTCAATCATCCTTGACCTCAAGGAAGAAAAAGAACCTAGGCCAAGAGGAGGCTCCTTGCTTGGCTGATCAATCGTTTGATTAAAAGTCAGAAGCACAAACACACTCACACGATCTTTCATCCAAGCCATCAAGTGGCTTGGTGGTGGCACGCCTACACATTTCAAGAGAAGAAGGACCAAAAAACTCCTTCAATCGACCTACCCGGCCGAAAAGAAGGAAACACATTTACAATAGTGGGATTCGAACCCAGGTTTGATTAGAATTAAAACACTATCTAAACCACTTTGAGTACGAGTGATGATCCTCTTTTGGGTAGCATGATGAAAAGCATGAAGACAAAATGTGATAAATATTGAGGTTCAATGGAGTTTATTAACAATATTTTGATTAATGTTGTTGTTCTTGATTCTAGATATAAGTTGAGTATGTTTCCTTTTGCTTCAGTGATGTGTACGATGTTGGTGTAAATAATGAGAAAGTGAGTGAGATCAAAAGCCTTTTGTTTCGTTTGTATGTCTTTTATTGTGCATTGCTGCTAGGTGGTGGCCAACCTTCTAATGGTGCTGCCATTTCTAGTGTGATTGTTGTTCCAAAAGGTAATGCTGATCATTATCAATCTGCACGTCTTGCTCGGGTTGCACAAATGAGAGAACATAAAGATATAGTTGAAATAGAAAGTGAAGTTGATAGGTATTTGCTAGATTCTGCTAAGAATATTGAAAGTGAAGTAAAGTTATTTGTGCACATAGTTGGTTGCAATCTTTTCTTATATCATATAGAGGTGGGATCAACTTCAACAATAGCATCGGACATAACTCTCTTAATTGAAGACTTTTAACCTTTGTAAGTTTCTCATATACTTCCATGTTTGTTTAGTGAATGAAGTGGTCTTGAGGTTTTTTATTATTACCTTGTTTATTTGTTTTAATTTACTTATTTACTAATTAAGTTTTCTTTTTTACTTTGCTTTTTGTATAGTGTGCAGTGGAATGAGAGGAAAATGTGAATCTCTCACTATGGGATCCACTTGGGCAGAAGCTCTTAAAAAATCCTCAAATCTGAGAATGTTTTGGATAAAAATGTTGGGCTCTCACTTTTTATTAACTCTTTTCAGGCCCATTGTTCCCCATTGGGTCTCTTAAAATGCGAAAGGGAAGGCTCCAACATTTTGAGACCAAAAATGTAAAAACTAAAATGAACAGGCCCAACATTTGAAAAATAAAAAAGAACAGAACAAAAGAAGCACCGACTTCTTCGTTTTGACACAAAAGCTGACGAAGAAGGCAGGTGCCACTTCTAAACCCTTCTTAAACCCTAGCTCCTCCTCTCTTGCCTCTAAGAAAGAAAATAAAAAAATTCACAGAACTCGTTCAATCATTCAGTACTCTGACTTCATTCTTGGACTCCCTATGCTGGCATAATGCTACCTCACTACAATTCGTTTCCTCACAATTCCAACCAAGTTCACGTCAATGGTAGCTCTGCTCCACCTCACCAGGTATCTCTCTCCTACACTGCCAGGCACTGGTAGATGCCAATAATTGCTTTTACAAACTTAAAGCTGCTTCGTTTTGTTTTCCTGGGTTTTGGTTTTGGTTTGTTTAAGCAGCAGCGGATTATGCAATCTAATCCAGGGCTTAAAAATTCGTCTTCTAATATGTTGCGAACTCTTCTGCAGATACAGCCTCAATTGGGTATCAAGAATAATCAAGTTCCAATCCCGTTCAGTAATGCTAATGCACATTTAAGCAATGGGCATGGAGGGGCCATGCCCAATATGCCACCTTCCATGATAGCTCAACCCAATTTCATGGGTGTACCTAACAACCTTCATCCTATGCAAAGTAACCATCTGGGTATGCCTCAATTCGGTTCTGTTGGTCCTACATCTCAACCAGGTCAGCCCCATGTTGGATTTTTCGGTTCACAAAATAATGCACACGGTATGAACTCCTTTGCTTCCTTTCCGCTTCATGGGCAATTCTGCAATTTGGTGCAGAATGTGAATCAAGCGGTTTCATCGCAGCCGCCTGGGCAATTACTTGGGCATAACCTGTTAAAATTACCACAACAGATCAACCAAAATATGGGTTTGCCATATGGACAATTCTGTTTGCCAAATCCATTGCAAAATATGAATCAATTTGTGCAAATGCAAATGCATAATCCATCCCAACTTGGTCCTAATTATGCTTTTGCGGGATTGAATCAAGCACCTCAGGCTACAGTTTCTCAAAATTCCCCCTTTTTTCCAACCCATCAGTTCGGTAATGGGCATTCTAATCAGGCAGGCCAGCAAGTTAACCAGAATCAGCAAAACTTGGTTCTGCCTGCAATGCAAGGGGCACAGGTAACTTTATTTTGCCTTGTGTGTATATGAAAATATATTCTTTGTGGCAAAATGTTACTTGGATATCTCTCACATATCTCCTAATATTTATTTACATTTTTATTTCTTCTTTTTAAGCTTAGAAAAAAAAAAAACTCCGGCTACAGTTTCTCAAAATTCCCCCTTTTTTTGCGACTCATCAGTTTGGTAATGCGTATTCTAATCAGGCAGGCCAGCAAGTTAACCAGAATCAGCAAAACTCGGTTCTGCCTGCAAAGCAAGGGACACAGGTAGCTTTGTTTTGCCCTGTGTGTATTTGAATTTATTTTCTTTCTTGAAAAAATATCTCTCACATATCTACTCATCTTTTTAAGCTTAGAAAAAAAACTTAGTTTTATTAAGCTTAAGGACGTGATAGATTCTGGGACTTCCTTTGTCTGTGCATTTGTATGTGCACTGGGTAGTTAATTTGCATAAACTGAGTCACTTTGTTGTTGGTTAAGATTGTAAGGACAAAGTTCTTACATTATGTTGATATAGTAAGGCCATACTTTTCTGAAATCCATTATTTGGTTATGCCTTCATTTCCTGCCTTCAATTTCTGTTCTCTCTTTTACAGATTTTATGCCAGCATTTTTCTGAAGTACATTTTCTCGAAAAGAGATAATTTCTAATTGATATACTATTCTGAATTAGCTGCATCGGTTGTGGTGAATACACATGTTATCAGTTTTTTCAGGAAAATCATACGAACACTGGTGGTGTTTACAGTTCAAATACCAATTGGAAACATTCACCAAGCAAAAGCTTTACAAAGCATCCGAAAAGAGGGGTGCAGCCACAAGGGGGGTAGGTTTTTCTCATGTCACTTCATTATCTTATTTTTTCTGAAGATTTTGACCAGTGACTTGTGATTCATTATATATATGGTTTGTGCAGATTTCAGAATTCTCAGTTCCATCATATGAAAAATGCAAAGGGAAAGTTTGCTTTTCCTAACGGGAACAAAGGAAAAGGTGCAGTTTTATATCTATCTACCAAGTTTATTAGTCTTTTATGTTTTAGATAGGAAAATGCTGCGATTTCGTGACGGAGGTACTGCAAATTTGGCTTGTTGTAGTAGAATCCAACTATATATCTACTACTTTCTTATTCCCTGTGTGCTTGTTCTTCAATATGCTTGATCTGGGATGCAGTAGTCCTTATCAATTTCTTCAATTACATAGAGTTTTAAACCACCTGAAGCTTGTGGAATTATTAGTATCATGGAATTTCACAGATAAAACTTGGATTCAAAATGGGTATGACTATATTTAACTGCTCTTCCACATGCTATGTGTGGAATCCCATGAAGGTGGGCTTGAGGTAGCCTAAAACACACAAATTGTTCGCTTGGGTTGCCTTGTGGTGTTACTCAAAGTTCATGGAAAACACCGTACTTTAGACCATAGCATTACAGAAGCTTGCTATATGAGATTCAATGGATATTTGCCAAAGAAGAAAAAAATTCCCACTGGATTAATAAAACATTAAAAATATTTACAAAAAAAATAGAAATGAGGTTCCTGTGTTCTCATTAACTTGCGTTGTTTGATGAAGCCCTGTATCATCTAGTACCCTTTCATATAATTTTTTATAGTCCCTGTTTTTGTCCTTTCCGATCTCTTCTTTCAGCGTCTTTGTTGGGCATGCGTGAGTGTGGGTTTGGGAGCTACTATGAATCTAAGATTTCCTGTTTCTTTTCTCTCCACAAAAAAAGCAGGGTTGATAAATGAGAGCAAAGGAAAGTTTACAAACCAAGGCGGGGAAAGGAAAAGGTAATCTCTGCTTGATCTCTCATATCTTATATTGTTACATGTGAACTAATGAGTATGCTCTAATTGAAATATCACAACTTGGGCTGCCAAATCTATAGTGTTAATCAGTGAACTTTCCTCTCAGGTGGAATCAGTGATCAAAGTTAAATTATTTAGGGCCTGTTTGGTAGCACTTTCATATTTGGGTTTTGTTTTTTGTTGTTTTGATTAAAGATGAGAGGGGAGATGGATGGGTGGAAGGAGGGAGGGAGAAGGAAGATATAAGGAAGAAATTCAAGAAGAATGTGTGAAATAAAAACTTGATAGTGAAAGCTATTTGGAATATCTTTTATTTTTTTGAGTTTTGTTTTCATTTCAGGTAACCTTACATGTACATTGTCTCCCTCATCCGTTGCTCCCTCGATCTCCCTTCCCTCTCCCTCTTTTCTCCCATGCATTTCCTCCCTATCTTTTACTAAAACCAAAAACAAAGGTATTACTAAACGGGCCCTTAGTTGATTATGGCAGTGTCTGAAATATAATAGCTTCTTTGAGTAGTTGAGTAGTCAATGTAGGACTGTCATTTGGCGAGCTGAGGGCACATGTGAGCTTCACCAAGATACGATGTGCTTTGGCTGAGCTCATCCCAACCTGATCTTCAATCCGAAATCAGCCCGTTATGTAGACTTGTATTTGGGCTGAGACACCGACAGCATGGAATAGTTTGAAGATTTTGTTTTAATCAACAGTTTCAAACTTATTTAAAACATGAGTTATAGGTTGGGACTGTTAGGATTGGGCTGATCTATTCGTTATTCCATTTTTCAGGCCTAAAAGCTTTTTCCATAATCAGCTCACTCCAAGTTCAAAGACAGTCAACCTAAAAAGTTCAAGCTGAACAAGTTAGGGTTTGAAATAGCTCAGCCAAATTGACAGTCCTAATTACTATATCAACAGCATTAACTGGGTCCTTATTCTTCCTCACTCTTGTTCTTCCTCCCTGCTGCACAGTAACATTAGCATTGAAAATTGACCAATGTTTTCAATAACAACCATATTTTGACTTTAATTCCAAAGCCTTTGAAAATATCAGTTTTAATATAATCTGAAAATGGTGACGTTATAAAGTTTCTATAAGAATAAGTTGATCTGTTTCAAGGATAGAGATAACAAGAGACTTCCTCTGTGTAAGTTAAGATGACTGATCTTTCTGTCATCTGTGAATTCCAAAACTTTTAAAGCTTTCGACACTGATGGCCTGGTTCCAAGGAGCACTGATAGGAGTTGAAAATTAAATTTTTTTTGTGCTTTACATAGGAATATTTGGAAAAATTTACAGACCTGAATTAGCTTTACATTCACAGCATCCATAATCTTTACGTCTTGCCTCCTTGTGTATGATCACTCTTTATGTTACTACAGTTTCTTAATGTAATCTCATCACTCTTTTTTCTCGAATGGACATGAATTCTTTCTGTCTCAAATGAGAAGATCTCTTTCTTTGCCCTATACTGAACAAGAGATTCAGCGGTGGCGTGAAGAACGTAGAAGGCACTACCCATCAAAATCCAACATAGAGAAGGTTTGCTGACTGAGACGTGCCTGCTTTTTCTTTCCCCATCTAATGTAGATGTCCTGATATTAAAATATCACTTGCAGAAGCTACGTGAAAAGCTGATAACCTCAGAGGTCATTGAGAGAGAGGCCAAAATGCGACGAGAGGTATGCTTATTAACTCTCTCTCTCTCTCTCTCTCTCTCTCTCTCTCTCTCTCTCTCTCTTCTGATTGTTTGTACACTATAATCATTGAACAAGACTGAGCAATACTTTTGCTCAAGTTATTGACACCTGGACCAACTGAGCTAGTTTTGGTTTAGTTTTTGCCTCTTGTAATAACTTGTCACTTGTGCATGTCTCTAACGCATTGTCACGTAAATTTAATTGATACTCGAATAGATCATGGGTATTTCATTAAACCTGAAATTTGGCTTATATCCAGATTATGTCATGAAAGCTCTTCGAGACTGCCTTTCTTGGTTAAATACTTCCCTAATATGTGCACACTTTTGCCTAGACTTTGGCTAACGTCCAGATTGCAGGTTACTGTAGATAGTCTAGGGGGAGAGGGGCATTGTGACCATTACAATAAAAATGGAGAAAACCCCTTTTATGTTAAAGGTGGCATGAGAACTCCCTGCCCCAAGTTAATCCATTCAATACTCAAGTGCAGGAAATTTAATGTGTTTTGTTTTTTTCTTTATTCTTTTCTTACATGCTCAAAAAACCTCTAATGTTTCAATTTAATTTCTGACTGGTCTGTCTCTAAGCTTGTCACTTGAGTTAAATACACAATCAACATTCAGTAAATGTTAAGGAACTTTGTTGCAGCAACTGAAGGAGATTCTTACAAAGCAGGCTGAGTTGGGAGTTGAAGTTGCTGAAATACCATCATACTACCTTGAAGATTCAAATCAAGGGCATAGAAGAGAAGACAATAAGTCTTTCACTAAGAAGGGGAGATTACCAAACAATTTTGGTAAGAGGGGAAAATATGATAAAAAGGATCGGTTTGCCAAGAGGCAAAAATCTCATCACAAGGATTCATCTAATGACCCTTCTTTCAGCAAAAGGGAGCCAACCTTACTGCAGAAGCTTCTAAGTGCAGATATAAAGAGAGATAGAAGCCGTCTGCTGCAGGTGTTTAGGTTCATGGTGACAAACTCTTTCTTCAAAGATTGTCCTGACAAACCTTTGAAATTTCCTACGGTAGCAGTTAAAGAAAGTGGGTGCAATGAAGACATGGCTGAAGAACTGTCTTCACTTGCAGCGAAAGAGGCTTCTAAAGGTAGTGTCAATTCCATGGTTGAAATAGTTCATAACAATGATTATGAATATCATAATGATGTTTGTAATTATGATGATGGTGGTGATGAAGATGATGAAGAAGAAGGGGGAATTGAGAGAGCCGAGGAAGAAGAGGGAGAAATCATAAACTAGATATGCTACCTGAGTTGGTTAGTTTTTACACAAGCGACATTGGGGGAGACGAATCGTACATTGGACTTCAGTTTAAGGATGGATACTCCTAACCACTTTAGCTACAAGTCCCTTCTTTGAGTTGATTATTTTTATCTCCCTCAAATTGTACAAAAATGTATCATATGATTTTCTTGTTAAATTCCTGTTATCTCATACAACACTGAAGCGTGTGCTTTAATTAGTTATTTATTAACAAGTGAAACGGCGTGTAAGAGATATTTTACTCATATTTCTTGTTTCTTGTATAACAGAAATCAAACTTTTCTTATCTTGTTAAGGGAAAGATTAGATTAAAGGGGCTTTTTGCAACAGGTTACAAAAACAAACTCCTTCCAGCAATAAAACTGAACCGATTGCGGTGGATTCAGGGATGGAGCCAATATTTCAAAATGGATTGGGTTGAATTTACTTCAGGGATGGAGCGAGGATTTCAAAATAGATTGGGTTGGATTTACTTTGCGAAAAAAAAAAAAAAATTCCTATAGTAAAAAAAACAAAATCATCACAGACAAATATATTAGTAAAATAGTTTTGAATATGATGATACGATATTTGAGCATGAATATTCAACTTTAGGACAAACAACAGCATTAAAAATAATGCAAATAAGATATAGGAGAAGACCCTCAGTTACATTGGAGCAAGAATAAGATAATAGCAACATTAGATGTTATTAACCTAGATTTAACCATTAAGACAACATATATCCCTTGTAAGATAAGCAAGAATTTGAAAATATGATTATAGATATAAGTTACCAAATAAAGTTGAGATCATAAACAAAATTCAAGATAGTAAAAATTTTAGTAAATTTGATTCTAAATCTGATCATGATTTTGGAAGATTAAATGAGCAAAAGAATCAATTGAGTGACAACATTCACTTGTCCAAAATGATATTTTCAATGGCTAGTCATGCCTTTAGGTTTAAAAATGCACCGTCAATCTTTCAAAGAAAGATGGATAAATTTTTTAAGAAGTATAATAATTTTTGTAGTATATATGTAGATGATATACTTGGACATGCATAAAATAGAAATGAACATAAAAAACACTTATTAAAAATTTTACAATAATTGATTCAGCCTGGTATAGTTATTAGCAAGAATAAGATAGAACCATGTTTGTCGATTCAGCTGTACCAAAATGGATTCAGCTGCATCCTCAACTTGTGATACTCGCAAGTGCATGAGCCGTTCGGTAGTATAGCATATGTAAGTGCGAGGTCGATTCCACAGGGATTGGTGATTGAATAATTCAATTCAGTTTTCCTACACAAAACAGAAAAACAAGAAAGAAAATAAATAAAACAAGAAAGAAAGAAAAGAAAATAACTCAAGAAGATAAGTTCCCAAGTTCAATTAGATCAACGGATTGATTCTAGCTAAAGTATGATTAAGCCATGGTGTCTGGTCCTAATCTTGTATTCCTAATTCCCTAATTTGATCATCTGTTGTCTAACCTAAACTAAGCATTAGGAATCCATTAAGCATAGAAGAACATTTTAAACAACCAAGTATGTATCTAATCCCTGTTGTCGAATGTCCATACATACTATTAAAGCATGGTGTTTACTCTTAATTCAAACCAAGATAGCTAACATGCAAGCTTAAATGGTGATCAATCATTCAAACTAGCATAATAACTTATTAGCATAATGAATAAGAACAAAAACCATAATTGAAACTTGGAAACTAATCAAACTTGAAACTAAAGAAAAGAATTTATATAACAATGAAAAGTAAAGTGGAACTAAGAAAAACTTAAGAAGAATTTCAGCACAAAGATTTCATTACACAAATTGAAAACTAGACAGAGAAACTAAGAGAATTTGAGGGAGAGAAGGGAGGGGAGCTCTAGAGAAGTGTTTGAGAGCTCCCCCCTTTGGGGATGTGTTTTGAAGCTTGAAGACTTCTCTATTTATAGGGCTAAGAGGGAGGAACATCATGATG